AGACCCCCTGAGACGCCCAAAAAGGATCCACAGAAATTCTCACCAGACATCCGAAGAGACTACGGGAAACATCCAAGAGGCCTCTGGCCTTTCTGCTGGCCCTCCTCCTCCTCCTCCTCCTTCTCCTCTTCCTCCTCCTCCAACTCCGCCTCATCCTCCCTCCTCCTCCTCCTCCTCCTCCTCCTCCTCCTCCTCCTCCTCCTCCTCCTCCTCCTCCGTCCTCCTCCGTCCTCTCCCTCCGTCCTCCTCCTCTTCCTCCTCCTCCTCCGATTCCTCCTCCGTCCTCCTCGTTTTGGTGTACGGCGGCTTCCCCAGTCCTCTATTCCACTACATGCTCTTCCACATCCCTGATGACGAAAAGAACTCTGGTCATCGCTTCTGGATGGGCTGATGGGATTATGCGAAGCGTCTAGAACTGTTATTCCCGTCCCCCTTTCTAGTATCATCCGCACTGCTCGTCCTCATCGTTGCACATTGTAATACGACTACTACCCTACACTGTCAACCGCAATAGAACCAGCAGCATTGTCGTGATGGTCATATCATGATCCCCATGCTCTTACAATTACCAGCATCGGGAGCAGCTCACCGAAGCCCCAGAGGCCCCTGGAAGCCCTCTGGAGGCTCCCAGGACGTCCACTGAAGGATCGCTGGAGACTCCCCGAGGCTCTCGGAATGCTTCGTGCAGTTGAAGCTCGCTAGAAACTTTCTGACGCCAGCGAACGCTCCCTGGACATCCCAGAAGCCCTCACCTGGGAACCTCAGCATCAACATCATCACAGACCTAGTCATGAGATTCATCGCCACGGCAATCGCCAACATCGCCATCATTTGCGGCAGCATTCTCCTCATCCACATCCTCCCACTCCTTCCTCCTTCTCCTTCTCCTCTTCCTCCTCCTCCTCCCCCACTTCCCCCTCCCCCACCTACGCCTCCTCCTCCTCCGACAAACAACATCATCATAATCACCATCAGTACCATTATCATAATCATCATCATCATCATCATCATCATCATCATCATCATCATCAGCATCATCATCAGCATCAGCATCAGCATCAGCATCAGCATCAGCATCAGCATCAGCATCGTCGTCATCATCCTCATGATCAGCATCATCATCCTCACAATCATCATCATCATCATCATCATCATCATCATCATCATCATCATCAGCATCATGATCATCATCATCATCAGCATCAGCATCAGCATCAGCAACATCACCACCACCACCACCCTCATCAGTACCAGCAGCAGCAGCAGCAGTCGCATCATCACCATCACCATCGTCATCACCATCATCATCATCATCATCATCAGCATCATCATCATTCATCATCATCATCATTATCATCATCATCATGATCGTCGTCATCATGACCAACATCATCATCATCATCATCATCATCATCATCATCATCAGCATCATCATCGTCGTCATCATGACCAACAGCATCATCATCATCAGCAGCAGCAGCACCATCGTCATCAGCAGCAGCAGCAGCATCCCCATCATCGCCAAAATCAGCATTATCATCAGCAGCATCATCAGCATCACCAGCATCATCAGCATCAACAGCATCAGCATCATCATCATCAGCAGCATCATCGTCATCATCAGCATCAACATCAGCATCATCATCATCATCACCATCATCATCAGCGGCAACATCATCAACATCAGCACCATCATCATGGTCAGCAGAATCACCATCGCCTGCAACAGCTCACTATCGCCATCACCACCATCACCATCGTAATCACCATCACCAACAGCTAATGCATGAGGCCTCAGCACCAGCATCAGCATCAGCATCATCATCAGCATCATCATCAACAACATCCTCATCAACATCATCATCACCATCATCAGCATCATCGTAATCATCATCATTAGCATCAGCATCAGCATCACCATCATCATCATCATCATCATCATCATCATCATCATCATCATCATCATCATCATTATCATCGTCGTTATCAACATAATCAACATGAAAATCATCAACAACGACACGATCGTCCTTATCATCATGGCCAACACCACTATCATCATAGCCGTGCGTAGCCATGCATCGTCGACATAAATCCTCATCATCGTCATCATCGCCAGCATCGTCACTAACATCATCATTACCATCATCATTATCATCATCACCATGATCATCATCATCATCATCATCATCATCACAATCGTCATCATATAATCATCAGCAGCAGCAGCGGCATCATCAACATCAGCATCATCAGCGTCATCAGCACCATCATCATTATCAGCATCAGCATCTCATCACCAGCATCATCATCACCATCACCATCAGCAACAACAGCATCGGCATCATCACCAGCATCAGCATCACCATCAACATCATCATTACCATCATCGTCGTCATCATCATCATCATCAACAACATGTTCATCATCATCATCACCATCACCATCATCATCCTCATATTTCTTGTCACCAGCATCATGCGCGGCGCTCGTGGCGTCGGGAGGGCGAGCACGGGATGGCCAGCACGCGCGGACGACGTGGGGAGGCGATCGACCGACGGGGAGCCGCCCGCAGGCGGGCGGCGCAGGAACTCCGCCGGGCACGCGCCGGGGCGCGAGCCCCGGCGAGGGGCTCGCCGCAGCCTCGCCGGCGGGGGGCCTCGCCTGGGCGGCGGCTGGGCCGTGGCGAGACTGGTGGGGCGCGGAGGCTGAGGTACTCGAGGAGCCGCCGACGCCGGGGCTCGCGGACGAGCGCGGGCCGACGCAGGGCCGCGGCGGCCCGACGTGGAGGACGGCGACGGCGTCTCAGGGATCAGCCAGGTGGGTGCATGTGGCCGAGGTGGAGGCGATGGCGATGCTCTCATGGACAGGTGCGACGCGCGGCTGCCGGAGCGGCAGAGGTCAGGGCCGAGGCTGCGACTGGCGGCGCGGACCTGCAGCTGGCAACCGCTGAGGCGGTGCCGTGGGACGCCGTCGCCGTGGGCCCGGGCCCGCGCTCGCCGCGAGGGCCGACGCGGAGGCCATCCTGCGATCCTTCAGTGCGACCGTGGCGCGTTCCGACCCTGACCCTGACGAAGAGGGAGGTACGGCGCACGACAAAAGGCTCGACATGAATGTTGATGACGAGAGCGACTTCCGCGTACTGGGGGCAGCTCCCTGTGGCCAGCTGCGTGACCTTCTGCGGCAAGGAGGCGCAGCAGGCAGAGGCTGTCGAATCCATGCGGCCGTCGGTGCTGACCCGAGTGCTTCCGAAGTGGCGCGTCCGCTCCGCGCGGGTCGGGCCTGTGGCCGTGGCGGAGCCTGTGCTGGAGGCTCGGGTGGACAGCGGCGGCGGGCTAACGAGGGGGGCTGCGCACCCCTCCCGCTGCACGCCGTCCCAGCCTCTCCATTCCCCTCCCTCGGCTCGGAAGGCCGCCTGCCCCGTGCCGATGTGTGTGTGGGGGGGGGGCGCGTGAGCCCTGAGGTCGAGTGTGAAGCGCGCACTCCAGCTCCAGAAGTGGGCCTCGCCGCGGGTGCCGCTGCGGCCGCCCGCCGGCGCGAGCGCCATGCCAGGTGCCGCCTCGGCCGCCCGCCGGCGCGCGCGCGCGCGTCGCGCCGGGCGCCAGCGGGGAGCCGGACGCGGGCCACATCAGCGAAGGGCGCGGAGGAGGTCGGCAGCGAGACCGACCTCGGCGGCGCCGTTCCTTCGCCCCCCTCCTCCTCCAACGGCACAGCGGCGGCGGCCCGGAGGAGCTCGAGGAGGGGGAGAGAGCGAGGGCGCGGAGGGCGGCGCGGCACGGGCGGCCGCGTGCTCCTCCCGAATCCCGTCCAGGCCGGCGCGCTGGCAGCGGCATCTCGACGGGGTGCTTCGCAGACTCGCGGGCGCTCAACGGGTCAGCGGAGGCGCGGGCAAACGCGATCCTCGGCGAGCTGAAGGAGCTCGGCTCAGGCGGCACCGTGGCGGCCCGCTCTCCGTGCGCTCTAGTCGAGCTCGGCTCGGAAAGAGGCGGCATCGACGGGGCGCCGCGCGACCGCGGGAGGGCCACAGCTGCCGCTCGCTCGAGTCGTGCTCGAGTGGGCACAGACGCGGCCAACGACCAGAGAGCTCTGGCCAGGCGCTGGGACACGAGCGTGGCCGAGGCGGCCCGCGGCTCGACTCCCCCGACTGGCCGCTCGGTGCAGCCGGCGCTGGAGCTTGCCTGCAACGGCGCACGCGGCAAGACCACGCTGCCCTGGCCCCCCGGCCCGAGGGCCGCACGCCCCCCTCTCCTTGCCTCCCCCCCAACACACAGCGAAGAGCCACAGACTTGTCCCACTCACCAGCCCGAGCCCTCCTGGCCACAGCGTCGGAGCGACCGAGAAAAGCATCGATCTGGCGTGCGATGGGGGAGGGCCACTGCGCCGACTCCGCTCCATGGTTCCCTGGCGAACGTCAGCGCGGCGCCCATTTGCGCCGTCGTGACCGTGACCCTCATCCACCCGTGCGTGCGCGAGCGTGCCGAGGCCAGATGGCCACATTGAGGCGACGGTGCTTGTCTCAAAAGACGTTGTCGCGTTACGCCGCCGAGGCGCGAATGCCGTTGCCGAGCAAGAGGGGAGGACTCGCCGCGCGAGTTGCCTTCGGGCAGGTCATCGTCACCATCATCGTCGTCATCATCATCACCACCACCATCATCAGCATCATCAGCATCATCATTCTCATAATCCACATCATCAGCAGCAGCATCATCGTCATCGTCATCGCCATCGATCAGCATCGTCATCGTCCTCAGCATCCTCATCATCAGCAGCACCAGCATCATCGTCATCGTTATCGCCATCAATCATCATCATCATCACCATCATCCGAACCACCATCATCATCATCATCACCCCCACCATCATCGTCATCATTACCGTCATCCTTGGAATGATGACCATCATCGTCGTCGTCATCACCACAACCATCAATAATATCATTGTCAGCATTACCATCAGCAACAGCATCAACGTACTTGCCAAAGCCATCCCCACCATCAGCGTCTTACGCATCATCATGGTAACCGTCACCATCATCGCAGCCGTCACCAACGCCACCACAGTCACCATCATCATTACCCTGCTCAGCACCAGCCTCAACATCACCGCCACAACCATCGACACCATCACCATCATCATCATTATCATCCGTATCAGTATCATCATCAACGTCATCATCATCATACTCATCCTCATCAGCATCACCATCACAATCACCGTCACCATCATCAGTATCAGCAGCATCATCATCATCATCATCATCAGCATCATCATTACCATGACCATCGTCAGCATCAGCATCGTCATCATTTCCAGCATACGCATCATCATCAGCAGCAGCATCAGCATCAGCATCATCATGAATCCCATGCATCACCATGAGGAGCATAGCCAGTAGCATCACCATGAGCGACCTCCTCATCATCGTAAGTAGCATCGCGAGCACCATCATACCATCATCATCAGCAAGATCACCCTCATGGTTACTATCATCACCATCAACACCATCGTCATCATCATCATCACCATCAGCATCATCATCACCAGCATCGTCATCGTCATCGTCATCATCATCAGTATCATCATCATCATCATCATCATCATCATCATCAGCAGCAGCAGCAGCAGCACCAGCAGCAGCATCAGTACCACCACGACAACCATCACCATCACCACCACAATCATCATCAGCAGCACCCGCATCAGCATCAGCATCCGCATCATCACCATCAGCATCAGCATCATCATCATCGTCATTAGCGTCATCATCACCATCATACGCATCATCATCATCGTCATCACTACGACCATCACCAACACCATCGCCATCGCCATCATCACCATCACCATCACCGTCATCATCCTCATCATCAATACCAACACCAACAACAACACCACCACCATCATCATCATCATCATCATCAGCATCATGATCATCATCATCATCACCACCACCACCATCATCATCGTCAACATCATTATCCTCAGCCACCTCCGCCTTCTCATCATCGTCACCACCCCCATCAATATCATCATGACCATCACCACCATCACCATTATCACCATCATCAACATCATCATCAGCGGCAACATCATCATCATCATCATCATCATCATCATCATCATCATCATCATCATCATCATCATCATCATCATCATCATCATCATCATCATCATCATTCACCTCCACAATTACTCAATATGAATCTACTCTCCCTCTTCCCCTGATGGCGTCCGGGTGATAGCCGCGCACCCTCCGCGTACTGCTTTTTACACACAGGATGCCCGAAAAATCCCGGGAAACGACTCTCGCTGAGGCGACGGCGCCATTTTTTCTCAAAATGCTGCTCTCGCGCCGGCGTCATTTTTTCCCAAAATGCTGCTCTCGTTGAGGCGCCGGCCTCATTTCTGCTCCCGAATCCTTCCCCTGATGGCGTCCGGGTGATAGCCGCGCACCCTCCGCGTACTGTTTTTTAACACACAGGATGCCCGAAAAATCCCGGGAAACGACTCTCGCTGAGGCGCCGGCGTCATTTTTTCCCAAAATGCTGCTCTCGTTGAGGCGCCGGCCTCATTTCTGCTCCCGAATCGTTCCGAATCGTGCTCCCGCTGCAGCGTGGGCCTCATTTTCGGATCGGTGTTTGGCCTCCGTCGTTCAGGATGGCGTTCTCGCCCCAGCGCGGGCCTTTTTCTCGCGCGCCCATCCGCCCGCCACCACCGCGCCGCACCGCCACCACCACCACCACCACCACCACCACCACCACCACCACCACCACCACCACCACAACCACCACCAGCACCAGCACCAGTACCAACACCACCACCACCACACCACCACCACCACCACCAGCACCACCACCACCACCACCACCACCACCACCACCAGCACCAGCACCAACCACCACCACCACCACCACCAGCACCACACCACCACCACCACCACCACCACCACCACCACCACCACCACCACCACCACCACCACCACCACTACCACCACCACCACCACCACCACGACAACCACGCACACACGCACGCACGCACGCACGTGCACCACCACCCACTACGCACGCGCGCGCGGAGCCACAGGTCCGCTACGACACGCGTCCGCGGATAGAGAAAATCAGCGCCATGGTAAGGGATGGGAAGGAGGGGTAGGACGTCAGATATGACGCGAGCGCACCTAGCTTGCCTTCCCCCCTCCCCCCCCTCTCCCTGCCCCTACCTTCACCCTCCTCCGCCTCCCCCTCCTCCTCCTCCTCCTCCTCCTCCTCCTCCTCCTCCTCCTCCTCCTCCTCCTCCTCCTCCTCCTCCTCCTCCTGCTCCTCCTGCTGCTCCCCTTTGTCCTCTTCTGCTTCCTCCTCCTCTTCCTCCTGATCCTCATCCTCCTCCCCTTCTCCTCTCCCTCCTCCGCCTCACATCCCCCCCCTCCTCCTGCAGCGCTCGGGCCCAGGAGTCCTGGGCATCCTCGAAGTTCAGCACGTCCTCGTCGCAGCGGACTGGGCACTCCGCCGGCCCGCCGGTGGGAGGCGGACGCAGAGGGCGCACCAGGGGGGGGGGGGGCCCTCCCCCCCTCCCCGAGCTGCGGGCAGGACCTGCCACCGCGCCCCGGGGCACTGAGTGGAGTGTCCTTCGGTCCCAGCCTTCCCCGGGCGCTCCTCGGCGCGCTCCTCGGCGCTCCTCGCGCGCGCCGGGGCACTGCCTCGGGAGCGCGGGCTTTGGGGCTCCAGCCTCGGGCATGCCCCGAGCTGGCCCCGCAGGCCCGTGCGGGCGCTCTCTTGGCGCTCTCTTGGCGGCCTCCTGGGCCGTCTCGGACACAGGGCCAGGCCCAAGATGATGCTCGAAAGCAGTATGGTCAAATGTTCTGTCTGAGGAGCGTCCTCGACGGCCCAAGGGCCGCACCAGGCCCCAAGAAGGGCGCCATGGGCCAAAAAAGGAGAGCTCGAGCGTACTTTTGGAGCGTTCTCGAAACCCTGTAGCCTAAACCTGCTGGCATCTCTTGGGGTCGCGTCCTTTACTCTCGCCGCCCGCCTTCCGCCGGCCTCGGCTGGCGCAGCCGCCCTCGCTGTACGTCCGCCGCCGTCCGCTGGCCTTCCGGCGCCTCCCGCCGAGGCACAGGCGTCCACAACTCGAGCCCTCGAGGGCGAGGCCCTTTCTGGGACCACCCCGAGAGGACCCCAAGAGGCCTCTCAGAGGTCTCTGGTCAACGACTCAGGCACGGTGGCGGGATGGGCCGCGGGCCGCCGGATGCGCCACCCCCTGCTGGCTTGGCACAGGGGTGCCTGGCGTGCTAAATCCTATACGGCTTGGCTCTGGCTCTTTATCCAAAAGATCGAAGACGCCTACGGCGAATCACCGCCGCCCTCTGCCTGTTTGGAATCGCCCGCCAAGGCCATGCCCAGGATCCGACAGCCGCCACCATTCTGAAAGAGACGTTGTGGAAGCTCTTCGTGGAACACTTAGATGAGGAAAGGAACAGCAGAAGAAGAGAGATGACCAGAAGTGGCCCCCGAGGAAGAGGCCTCTTGGCGGCCTCTTTGGGTCCTCGCGGGGCCTCTTGGAGGATTCCTGAGAGTCTCCTGAGGAACTGGCGAGTTTGGGGGAGGCCTCCCTGGCCGCGCCTTTTGAAAGCGCCTACGTGGCCGAACGTTGTGACCAGAGCTCGGCCAAGCTATCGGACTATGTGCTCCCTCAGCCGTTGAAGAAACCCTTCGGGGTGCACGCGAAGGAGAAAGAAGAAACAGAAGAAGAAGAGGATAGGGAGGAAAAGGAATAGGGAGAACGAGGAAGAGAGGAAAGTGAGGAGGAGGAGGAGGAGGAGGAGGCGTCTCTGGGGCCTCTTGCGGCACTCTTGGCGTCTCCACGACGACGGCCGAGGAATAAGCCTCTTGGCGCCCTCTTCGGGTCCTTTCGGGGCCTCTTGGAGGCTTCCCGGGAGTCTCCCGAGGACCTTTGGAAAGTTTTGGGAGGCCTCCCCGTGGCAGCGCCTTTTGAAAACGCCTGCGTGGCCGAACGTTGTGGCCAGAGCTTTGCCAAGCTATCGGACAATGTGTTCCCGCAGCCTTTGTGAAAACCCTCCGGGGAACACGTGAGAGAGAACGAATAAGAGGAGGCGAGGGAGGAAAACGGGCGGGACGGTGGAGGATGACGAGGAGGAGGAGAAGGAGGAGGACCAGTGTAAACCAAAAACCCATCAACGATGTTGAAATGCACCCTCCCTCTAAGATCCCTCTTCATAGGCCCCTATAAAAGGTCACTTCCACAGAGGAAATTGCCCCGATGGGGGACAACCGTGTGAACATCTTGGAGCGTGCCAAAAACACCACTCTCAGGACTTCAACGCCACGAGATAGCCTGATTGTTGCGTCTTGGCGATCCTGAATGGTGCCAGAACGATATTTCCTGGGACTTCAACACCACAAATCAACGTAACTACTGCGCCCTGGCAGTCTCGAACAATTCCAAAACACCATTTCTGGTACGTTAACCATGATCATCAATGAAATTCGTGCAAATGCTTAACGCGAGTGCGTGCGGCGCTAAGGCGAGAACCACATGTTGAAAGCGAATCGCCCTCAAGCCGCCAAACTCTTGCATGTTTATATCTATATACATATATATATGTGTGTTTTTGTTATATATATATATATATAAAATGCGCGGCGCTAAGGCGAAGGCCACAATTTGAAAACTACTCGCCCTCAATCCGTGAAAATCTTGCAATGTTTTACCGAACGTGCTCGGCTCTCCGGCGGGAACCACATGCTGAAAACGAGCCGCCCTCAATCCATGAAACTCTTGCAAAGGTTTAGAACGAATGTGCGCAGCGCTAAGACGAGAGCCACATTGCGCAAACCACCCGCCCTCAATACATCAAACTCTTGCAACTATTAAGAACACATGTACGCGGCGCTAAGACGAGAACCACATTTCGGAAACGAACCACCCTCTATCCGCGAAGCTCTTGCACATGTTTAAAACGAATGCGCGCGGTGCTTAGGCGAGAGCCACATGTTGAAAACCAGCCACACTCAACCCGTGAAGCTGCTATCTACTTTTCAGCATCAGGGTCATAACTGGTGCGGAGCACTCAGGCGAAACGCCCGGCATGCCCTGCCGACCGGCCTCGGGGTGCGACAGGAAGGAGTTATCTATAGTGAAAAAGAATGGAGGAGAGGGAGGAGGAGGAGGAGGAGGAGGAGGAGGAGGAGGAGAAGGAGGAGGCCTATGAGGGGGCCTCTTGGGGCACTCTTGGGGCCTCCTGGGAGCTTCCTAACGGCCTCTTGGAGGCATCTTGGGGGCCTCCTGGGGCCTCTTGGGAGCCTTTTGCAGGCTTCTTGGGGGGCCTCGTTGGCCGTCTGAGGGCGTTCCTGGCCTGTCCGACGCCGTCGGAAGCCGTATAAGATGTAGCACGCCAGGTACCCCTGTGGCAAGCCAACAGGGGGCGGCGGAAATCCCCCTGGGGCTTCGACCCAGCACGCTGGCCATCGGAAAAGTTCCCAAATTTCGTCTCCCGTTGCCCAAGTCGCCTTTGAGACGCCAAGATGGCAAAAGATGGCATCCAAGATGCCTCCAAGACTGCCAAGACGGCCCCAAGAGAGCCCAAGATGGCCCCAAGACCTCCCAAAGGGACTCCAGGAAGGCCCGAAGAGGACAACATCACTGATATTCCTTAAGCTTTTGGTTTGAAAGATGTTAGCAATTGTTTCTTTTCGGCCTTCCGACGGCCCGGGAGGGCACAAGAGGCCCCAAATATCGCCCAAAGATCGCCCAAAAGCCTCCAAGATGGCCCCAGGACGGCCCAAGAGGCCCCCAAGACGCCGCCCCACCCCCCCTTCCCAAGACGGCCCAAGAGGCCTCCAAGACGCCCAAGATGGCCTCCAAGACAGCCCTGGAGCACCCCAAGTGGGCCCCAAGTCGGCCCAGAGAGGCCCCCAAGACGGCTTCCGACGGCGTCAGACGGGCCAGGAACGCCCTAAGACGGACAAAGAAGCCCCCGAAATGCCCCAAGGCCCCCAAGACGCCCAAGGAGGCCCACAAGACGCCTCCAAGAGGCTCCCAGGAAACTCACAGGATGCCCCAAGAGTGCCCCCAGAGGCTCCCAAGGTGCCCCCTCCTCCTCCTCCTTCTCCTCCTCAGCGCAAGAACCTGTGGGCAAACTCCGACACCTTTGAGGATTTCAATGCCAAGTTTGAGGAGCTCTGCTCGGCCAAGCGTGCGCGTTTGGGGTGATGATGGCCTCCTTGCGCATGATAGTTGTACCATGTCGGAGGGGGTAGTGGTCTGCCAACACTCCCTTCGATCATCCAGGACCAATGTTGCTGGCGCTGCAGATGCCGAGCGTCCTCCTGGCGGCGAGGGGAGCGAGTGCGCCAGCCGCACCTCCCCTGTCAGACCGACTTCTGAGGGCGCTGCGACGATGTCTGCGCGCCCAGCCCAGAGAGCTTGTGCTCCACAGGATAGATACGATGCGAATGGTTTCCTCTTGCCTCTTGTGACAGGTTTCAGACCAGCTGCGTTCCCGCCCTCGAATCCCGAGTTTGGGCAGATTGCTGGTGAGCATGTCATTGAAACGTTTAATTGCAGTGGAGGCAAGAGCACGCTCAAGAAGCGGCTCAAAGTCACTAGAGCATTAGTCGTGATTGTGCAGGAGTTTGGTCATGTGGCTGATCAGGTTGAAGCCATTCAGAGTTGGGCACAAGTGCGAGGTTGGAGTCTCATGGCGTTGCCTTCCTGTCCCTCAGCAGGCAACGTGCCCAGTGCTGGTGTGGCTGTTTTTGTGCGTAGTGAGTGCGGTGTGCGCGCGCCACAGCTCGGTGCGCATCAGGTGTGTGAGCACCGCGTGCAGCACGTACAACTTGATCTCCCAGGGTGGCCTACCCTACACCTTATAAATATGTACCTGTATCCCAGCTTAGGCCCTCAGGGCAAGAACGCCAAGTTGATGGCAGCAGCAGGTGCAGTAATTGAGAGCATTGATGGTCCCTGTATAGTTGGGGGTGACTGGAATATGTCTCCTGATGAGGTCGAGGCTTCTGGTTTCTGTAGTTTTGCCCGTCTCACCCTCGTCTCTACTAAGCTATATACTTGTCGAGGTGGCACGGGTAGTTCGATTATTGATTTTTTCGGTTTGAATGATCCGTGCATGCGTGCGTATAAACATGTTAAGCTAGACACGCGATGGGCGATCAGGCCCCATAGACCCGTGCAGCTTGCTATAGCCAGTCAGGGATATCGAGTGCAGCATCTAGTGTATACTGTTGCCCCTGCTCTGCCTATTTCCCCCCCTGTCGGTCCTCAACCCTCGCCGCCAGATTGGGGTCCTGCGAGGGGTCTGGTGGAGCGCTGTGTCGAAATGGCGGGGGATGAGAAGACCGATCCTGGGGTAGTACATCACTTGCTTAGCGCGAGTTGGGGCAAGTTTGCCCAGATCGCTGCACGGCATATCAGTAATTGCACGGGGGGCGCGAAAGATACTTTCGGCAGTTTCGGGCGCCAAGTTGCAC